AGTTGCAAGGAAAACATTTAGAAACGATACCAATGTCGTAGAATGCCAAAATCAAAGGAAAAAAGACAAAAATGTAAAGAAATGATTCGAAGAGTAGATTATTCGCCATAACATATTCTGTGCCATTTGTTCAACCTTCATGACCACGTAGATTTCATAGTGAAAGCAACTTTTTTTTTGCAAAACTTTTTTTTTATTTGCACGCGCGCATCAGTTTTGGGGTTCCCAGAGGATGTCATCCATATAATCAAATCAACATGGCCTTACTGAGAATTGAACCACTGCGGACTTCGTTATGCAAATCTTAATCCAGTTTCTCTTTCAAACCAAGGACGTGCTATAAAAGATCTGTCCTTGTCCAAGCACATCAATTCATAAATCATAGCTCTGACAAAATGTTTCTTGTGTCAAATCTGTCTTATTCTGACAGTTTTTCCCTTCTGTTCCAATAGGTCCTTTAGGGGACGTCTTTTTCAAGGTCGATTTGTAGCCCTAGGTCGAGGATCACCCCCATGTGTACCCAAGAAAATGTGACAAATCTTCTTAGTGTAACATTGAACCCCGGAGGGCTCCCCAAAGTAATTTCTGACGTCAGATAACTGTTATATAACCGTTAGAATCTAGTAGGCGACGATACTACTTTGAAAAATTGGATGTGTAGTGACCCTAGGGGTCAGAGGTTACGGTATAGGGCATGGTACCCTAATGGAGTGTGATAGTAGGGTATTTGTCACCGATGTAAGTAGACGTAGAAGTACATCCATATACTTTAGGCCACAGCAAGTAAATTTTATGGATGACATTCTCCGCAAACCCCAAATCTAATGTGATAGGGCGAAAAAAAAGGCGGACCAAAGAAACAAGGTTCCATTTTAAAATGTTGGCATCATAAACCTTGAAGGATATGAGAAGAAATGACACCTATGTTGTGCTAAGTTTACCGTCAAATATTACAATATCCATTTGTCACTGAAACAACTTTGAAAAATGAAAGGTTTCAATCCAGCAGTACTTTTTAGTTGATTATGAACTAACTCAACGTTAATGAACGCTTCATACATGTACATGAAGACCGGATGCCGACATGGTACAAATGTCGTGTATCTAAAGGTGAGGTCCTTGACATGTATACGCCTCACCGGTTGAACTGCTTTGCATACTTACGTACAAATGCTGTTTATACACACACAGGGTTGTTTCATCCAGAACAAGACAAAAATTCAATTACCCAACCATTACTGGCCTTCCTGTCATATTCATATTATTACCAAGAAATACTCAATGTTCAAAGGGTGACCCAAAAACGCCTACACAAAGTAGTCTTGTTAAACTCGTATTGCACCGACCAACAGCTCAAGGCATTGACACACTTTCAAGGACTTTTTTTCAAGGACGTTGTATTTTTTATCTCACCTGGCCTCGAGGATTTAGTTTCAAGATTTCGTCTGATTTCAGGTCGGCGAAGGAGACTTCTTTACTGGTGTAGTCTATCCCCTTTTCTTCTAGAGTGATGAGGACGGCCATGGACGGAACACTGCCTGATGCCCAGTACAATCCCACTTCTGACGCCATGTTGTTGTTTTGTGTTTTGGGATGTACCAATAGGGTCTAGGGTGTGGACCGGTGCCCAGCCATATCGTTGATCCTGTCAAATACATGACACTAATTGGGGGTTTCCAATATACCTAAGACAAGGGGTGGGAGGGGTTTAGTCGTGGTGTGGGAGACTAAAGCTAAGGCCATGTTGATTTGATTATATGGATGACATCCTCCGGGAGCCCCAAAACTGATGCGCGCGTGCGAATAAAAAAAAGTTTTCCAAAAAAAAAGTTCTTTTCATTATGAAATCTACGTGGTCATTAGGGTTGAGCAAATGGCACAGAATATGGTTTGGCGAATAATCTAGTCTTCAAGTTCATTTCTTTACAATTTCGTCTTTTTTCGTTTGATTTTGGCATTCTACGACATTGGTATAGTTTTTATTAATTTTTTTTGTAACTTATGGTATATTTTTGCTCATTTTGCAACTGTTTTGTACGATTTACAGTATGGTTGAAAACTTTTTTTTTTGGAAACGGCCGAAAATCCATGCGCGCGCGGATGTCATCCATATAATCAAATCAACATGGCCTAACCTAACCCCAATCGCTAGTCTAACCCTAGCCCTGAACAATGATCTTAACTCTAACTCTAACCTAACCCTAACTCTAATACCAAACCTAACACTAACCCTAACCCTAACTCTAATACCAACCCTAACCCTAAACACCCGACCTCTCACGTATGGGGCAGCTCAAGGATTTGGCTCAACACTTTTTTCCTACCCTCCCCCCTAAACACATACATACAGATAAAAGAACGACTTTTCAACCCACCCTATGGTTAGACTGGCCCTTGAAATTATCTGGGAGAAACATAAGCTTTCAGTACCGAGCGTATCGTAAGAATCTTGGCAATTTTCAGTATTTTAATTGTACTAGGGACTTGTATACACTTCGTTATTTCTTTATCAAACCTCTACATTCCATTACAAATTGCAGGGGGAGACAAAATTGCTCACATATGCTAGTTTCAATTTAGTCATATATCAATTACGTCTTCAATGTTTGTCTTTGTCAATGTTTGCTTTACTCTCGAAGATAACCTCAAAATCATTTGAAATAATTTTCAAAATATGCTGAGCACGTCAACAGATATGTAACATTTAATGTTATAGCCTTTCAAGGAGGTAATCACCCCTTCTGTTAAAACGAACCGTCCCTGATGTATCTAGGGAAAACGTCACCCTCTGAGCCATTAGGCATAATGTACACTCCCCCTGAAAGAATGAATCATCTTCATAGCGAGCTAAATTCTTTACTCGACCACGAAAACAGACAATGCCTTGTTACTTACTTGCAAATTGGCTCTTAAAGGCATCCAATGCAGTTTTTAACCCGATTTTCAAAGCCAATATTCTAGTCATTTATCTACATACTGAGTTGAAACCACACTATCCCAATGTATACTGACCCCCATAGAGAAAATTCCCAAAATTCTGATGGGAAATGGTTACTGGAAGGACCTTGGGCTGATTTTTAGGGTACCACCTAGAAAATAAAGGACTCATATTGGGACTTGTTTCTTCAGTTTTAAATGCCCCAAGTATGAAATGCTGATTTAAATGTGCTAATGTGAAGCAGTATGCGTCAATATCACAAAGTTTGCCCTATTCAGAATATTTCTAGTTTTGCTGCCCTGAAATCGCATTTCTTCCTGGATACCTCTCGTTGGACTGAATCGAGCAGTAATACAACAACGTTCTCTATCCTTAATTGAATGTGTGGGAAACAGCTATGATAACCTGTATTCTTATCGCTTCCAGGCATACATAGAAAGAAATCCTTGTCCAGTACCGGTGCAGCTCTTTAGAATGCTTTCATCTACCTTGAAAACAGCAGCTTCCGTCGCCTCGTTTATTTTTAACCAGGAAGTTCTGGCGACATAGTAATGTTACTTTTGTTTTGTAACATTGATATGCAAATTCTCATTACCTTCTTTATTTATTTCACTCTTGTATTTATTTTGCTTGTTTCATGTAATTCATCAGTTTGTCATATGATTATATGAAGCACTTTTACCAATATGTTAAATATCATTGTATTTAATTATAATAAGTTATGTTGTATCTTTATTTCCTTGTTTGTTATTTAAGTATTTTTGTCACTGTATGTCCGCAGGGAACACTGAAAAACGCCCATGCGGAGATATGCCCTGGGTAAATAAAAAAAAAATCAAGTTAATGAACGTTATTGCTTCATTTTGCCTATGTTTGAATTATTTTGATAACAATTCCTTATGTATGTATGCATTATTTCAATTCAATTATGTTTAGTTTTGGTTAGTATAGAGGAGGAGGGCTTAGCATAAGCTAAATAAGCTTTTTTCCCTCCTCCTGCACCTGTTTTATTTCTTATTAGTGTATTACGTATAATCTTTATTGCTGTTGTGCAAATAAACCAACAAAGTGTGTTGTCTTTTCATTATTGTGATCTGAGTACATTAGCTCACATGCATGCTGTTATGTACAGTCAGATTTGATGGTCTTCTATAGTGCATTCATCTCACACGACAAGACAGAGTAAAAACACACATTATGTACAGATTTGTTTATTTGCATTTATGATCTGTTATGAGTTCACCTTGTTCACCATTATTGTATGTAGCCTACCTTTATTTGTGTTCATATTTTGTTTGGATTCTGTTATCTGTACCTTTGATTCTCTTTTGTTTATGTATTATTTATACTCAAACGGTGTCGTATAAGCCCACACGGGCTGGGCGCGGGAAAGCGCACGACACGAAAATAAAGTTTCATTCATTCATTCATTCATTCATTCATTCATTCATTCAGAGAGTACACGTGTCGAGACAAAATTACTCTTGCAAAATACTTTATTGAGAAAAGCAACAATACTGACGACAGAGGTACTACAAAAATAATGCTTGTTACATGTTTACAACTGTTTTTCGACTGATAAGAGAGATAAACAACAATCTCTTCTGTTTATGATATAAATATGCCAGATACAGCATATTCTTATTATAACATCTATATATTTAACGCTATCAAGGATAAAGCAAGCGACTACATGAATATACATGTACATACCATTGTCATTGAAATTAACCGAATTTTATGCAACACCACGCATGTAAGCTTCATAAATCATCAAAACAAGCTATTACTGAATAACAAACATATTGGCCTATAAATATTATAGACAAGACGTTCACCACTGATAAATATATCATCTAGGATAACATATTCATATGTATAATTCATCTGCTGAAGAAAGGATATGAAGACAAAGGCCAGAGGGTAGACAGTATATGTCTTAGTCAGGATTGTTCAATCTCAAGTTTACTATGTCGTCATATCGATATATCTTTGTCACACCTTTTCATATCTGGTCTGAGTAAGATTCATACACCAAGGCGATGGTAGTTTAGGCCACACCAAGTAAATTTTATGGATGACGTCCTTTGGAGACTCTAAATCTAATGCGAGAGGGCGAAAAAAAAACAAGAAGGGCCCTAAAAACAAGATGCCTAGATTAGAAATATACTAAGAGACTGCAAATGTTAGGACACAAATTGAATGAGGTGACACAGTGTAACAAGCAAGAAGTCTTTTATTCATCATCAAAAAGCAAAAAATCAGGTGGAACAAAAGTTGTCGTCCTGTCCTGTTTTCGCGTTGCGGGTTTCACGTCAATTTGCGGCACTGTCGTGACTCTTTGGTGAAAGTTTGGTCATAGTTACAGGAAGCGGAATTTCTTGTTTTTTTCTAGGACACCCCAAAATCAATGCGCGCGCGGACGTCATCCATAAATTTAACTTGGTGTGGCCTTATCAAACTTGGAGCTGAAAAACGCTGCACAATTTCTTATATGCATATAACATCATTCAACCTATCAACCGGTACTGTATCATTCAAACTTGCCAAAGAGATCCCTAGCAAAATTAGCCTCCTTAACGACCCAACTAAAGCATAATTATTCACCAATAAATGCACCGTCAATATGTCAAAGCGAAGATGGTGTAACGCTAGACACTATCGATAAATGAATGCAACTATGTTGTGAAAAAGTATTTGCCTGTCAACAAGATTTTTCTCGCTATTGACAGGTTAAGAATGGCCTGTCAATAAGATTTTTCTCGCTATTGACAGGTTAAGTATGGCCTGTCAATAAGATTTTTCTCGCTATTGACAGGTTAAGCATGACCTGTCAATGAGATTTTTTCTCAATATTTTTTTCTCGCTATTGACAGGTTAAGCATGGTCTGACAATAAGATTTTTCTCGTTATTGACAGGTTAAGCATGGCCTGTCAATAAGATTTTTCTCGCTATTGACAGGTTAAGCATGGCATGTCAATAAGATTTTTATCGCTATTGACAGGTTAAGCATGGCCTGTCAATAAGATTTTTCTCGCTATTGACAGGTTAAGCATGGTCTGACAATAAGATTTTTCTCGCTATTGACAGGTTAAGCATGGCCTGACAATAAGATTTTTCTCGCTATTGACAGGTTAAGCATATGGCTTAACATTGCGGCCCAAAAAGCAAGATATACCGGGAAGTGGGTAAAAGTCACACGTCTACCGCACTCCGGTCAGAAAGCTGATGAAGACCGAGTTATTTTGTCGAAAGTTCCTGGTGAGTCATCCTTCTTGAGTTGGAGTACAGTTTAATCAAGTTTACCGAAGGAAAACGTATTGTTTTTGGTCTGTTTCCTCTTGTTCTTCCTCAAACAAATAAGGTCAATGACCTGAACCATGATAACTAGTGTTGGGTTACATCATGTTGCAATTTTATAGCAAGAGGGATTTAGACTTCTGTCTGAACATATATATGAATGTGTCTGGGTAAGAATTAACAGATCTAGATGTAAACATCATGCATTTGCTTTGCAAATGTTACCTTTCTAGTTTTCATTATGTTATATGTATTTTACCAACTCAGATGAAATTTCATGCCAAAACATATCCGAGATATAGCCGAATACACGCCTGGCTTTTCCTGGAGTTTCCTTGCTTATCGTTGACTTTCATCTGGCCCGAAAGCTTTCGATCGTCGTTTTGACTCGGAGCTATTCGGACGTAAGCCGTGACCTATACGTCTGAAGGCCACAGAGGTCATCGAACATCGTACCCGACAATCGTTAAAACCGAGAACACCTGCTACGAGGCATTCGATTGGAGGAAAGGTCGCGCCTTACATGTGTAGCATTTCGTGGTTGAAGAAGAAACATTGTGACAACTTCCTGTGACGTCATCCAGGAACCTTCATCCAAAACCGTACCCGACAGTCGTTAAAACCGAGAACACCTGCTAGGAGGCATTCGATTGGTGGAAAGGTCGCGCCTTACATATGTTGAATTTCGCGGTTGAAGAAGAAACATTATAACAACTTCCTGTGACGTCACCCAAACAGGAAACTAGGTCATGGGTTCAAATAAAGAACTGTGGACCACATAAATATAACGGCAATTAAACATCAAAAGCTGCTTTTACGTCCATACATAAAAGAATAATTATACAATTACATGTAAGAAGATATCTCCTATTAAAATAGCATGCGGACACGTTTACAAAGATAATCACAAAAGCTACTGAATCAAAGTTTCAAACACAACCGTAACCTTACCTTGCGTATCTGAATAACATAACCGTAAATATATACATGTATGCTTCTAGATTATGATACATTAACACTCAAAGTATCTTTTGATAAATATAGATATCCTTAACGTTTAACATAAAATGCTACTGACAAGCATTTCAGCTTACTAAACAATTACATCTGAAATAAAATATCCAAGAATGATTGTCATGATTTTCTGAATAAGAGAGTAATTTTATCAATATACTTCTAGATTCTTCTATGGCCAACTCCCCGTGAACGTAGCCGAAATGACCTCTGAATATCTTTTTTTTAACGCAAATGGATTATATGGCTTGGCAAATATATGTCTTCTAGCAAATTATGGCCTCAGGTGTAGAGGTCTATTCTCGGAAAGGGGTAGTGGCGTCATGAAATACGTCATCAAGGTCATAAGGTCAAAATGCCCCCACATCCCAAGGTATATTTCATACATTTCATGGTATATTCAACACGTCGCATACTGTAGGGAGATGGAATGAACGTTTGCAAAATATGAAAATAGATTATCATATTCAGGTTTGAAAATCGCGAGGCCGCCAAACGAAGATTGTAGAATAAACAAAAGTATATATTTCATTGGTGTTTTGCTCATTCTTGTCTGTGTCTAGTCTACCAACTATAGGTGAGTTTAGAGGTTACACGTCGCATACTGTAGGGAGATGGAATGAACGTTTGTAAAATATGAAAATAGATTATCATATTCAGGTTTGAAAATCGCGAGGCCACCAAACGAAGATTGTAGAATAAACAAAAGTATATATTTCATTGGTGTTTTGCTCATTCTTGTCTGTGTCTACCAGCTATAGGTGAGTTTAGAGGTTACTCATTAACTCTTGTATCAAACAAAAACTTTTCCATCTCTTTATGTTAGATAGATAAAAATCAATATATATATTATAAAGAAAAATCTATTTAAAAGACCATTGTTCCATCTTCTGTCAACTGGTCCTTACTTTTGTAGAGCAGAAATTCTAAATCCATTCTATATGCTCTTTGTTTGCATTGATCACTTTGTACCCACCAGGTCACTCGAATACTTGCGAGATCTTCACGATTCACCATCGAGTTTGGACTTTTAAGATGCGGCGGCTTTTGTAAATGCAGCGTAAAGAATGCAGTTTAAATTTCAGACTGACCTCAGTTCTCACACTGAAATGTTCCGTGCCTCAAGCTACCATATGAACCCGAAACAAAATAGTTTTTAAACATATCATTGTGAAAAATAGCGTATTCATTTCATGAGAATCGTCTTTGTTATCTCAATTCGGTTATGAAATCGTAAGGGAGTTCACAATACGTTTATCATCAGAAAGGTGTTAGGAAATATAGTCAGGATTCTTATAGCAGTCACATACGTTGCACGATTTTTGGTACAATATTGTGTGCAGTTTGGAGAATTCTAGGAATGGTACAGGCATTTTGTCCACAGGCATGGAATGTCCACAGGCATTTCTCTGACCCATATCTATGCCCACATTCCTGGAAACTCTTGGGAAGACCTGTCTGCCCCGGATGGCCCTACTTTCTGTGACTCTGGGGCTCGTTCACTATATACTCAAGGGAGGAGTGCACTGTATCTGTCTAGACTTAACAGGTACCAAGTCTTCCTCAAAGTCATGAAATGATGGCAGTGTCATGCAAACAGTAACCATAACAGCAACCACTGTCGCCATGGCAATGTATGTTTTGATTGCCAGGCTTGTTATGGTATGATTTTCAGCAACGCTATGACAGAACCACTATGATAAGGACCTACTACAACATTTTTTGTGTAAGCTGAAATATCAATATTCCACGACACATGCACAACTGTTCCAAGAATATCCTGAAATGTGCTGTCGTAAACCCGTCGTACGAAGTACGTGACAAGGTCTTGACATCTTCCTAGTAAACCACGTAGTAGGGGTTTAGCCGAGCCGGATTTGAAGTCGGGGGACACCGGCTTTCACAGTCACATTTCCAAACCGATGCCCCACCGGTTAGTAGTTTATGGCGACTGGCTTATGACCCTGTAGTGTCTGCCGAACAATATCTTTTGGTGGTGTTACAAGAAATGTACTATAGCAGTGTGTGTTACCATATTTGGAGTGTGACCATATTTGGGCATGGGGGCAGGAGGCCGATACCCAAATATGGGCATGCACACAGGAGCATGTGCGTGGCTCCGAGAGATGTGGTTGCTGATTGGCTGTTCACTTAATTACTTTATCTGCTAAAGGAACACCTGTGTCTCAGCGTCCCACCGGGTAGTAGTTCATGGTTGCTGATTGGCTGTTGACCTAATTACTTTATCTGCGTCTCAGCGCCTGCCGAACAGGATCTTCTTGAAGGACTTCTGGAAGTCCTTGTTGAGGAAGGCGTACAGGAAAGGGTTGACCATGCAGTTGACGTAGCCGAGCCACAGCACGACGCTCTTGATGACGTCGGAGATGTGACAGGTGGCGCAGAAGGGCCCGATCAGCGCGACCAGGAAGAACGGCAGCCAGCAGAACACGAACACGCCCGTGATGACGCCCAGTGTCTGCGCCGCCTTCCGCTCCTTGGAGAACAGGATCTTCTTCTGGCTCACCATCCTAGACTGGAGGGCCTGCAAGAAGTACATTTTCTTCATTTATAAAACTTTATTTGCAAAATCATGCCCGAAGGCTAATTGCTTTTACAATCAAGTATAATACTCATTGCAATACAGTAACAGGAGACAGGTAACAACTGTCTGGGGAAAAAACTTCTACTTCTACTACTACGCTAGCTAAGATTTTACAAGACTCTCAAATCCGACTACTCTGTGGAAAAATACCTATACCACAATGAATTTGACGAGCGAGCTGCCATGTGTAAGATTAGATAGAATAAGTGCGCATCTACTAGAGATAGAAAAAGGCCGCTATAGAAAACTACCTGTGCACGAGAGATTACGTAAATATTGTACAATGAATGCAGTGGAAAATGAAATACATTTTGTTAGCCAGTGTCCTCACTATGAGACCGAAAGAAACAGATTATTTCAGACAGTTACAGCAATTTCTCCATCCTTTCGTCATTTAGAAGATCACCAAAAACTGAATTTCTACTAATATCACAAAACCCACTAATTATGCAGAATGTGGGACTATTCATTATCCACTGCCTTCAAAGAAGATGACATCCTCCGCAGACTCCAAATCTAATGTGATAGGGCGAAAAAAAAACAAGGCGGACCAAAAAACAAGATTCCTACATTTTCAAATTTTGATATCATAAAATTTCTTAAGCAAGAAATGATACCTATATTGGGCTAAGTTTACTGCCAACTATTACAACTCCCATTGTCAATGAAAATTAAAGTTTTCAATCATTGTATAAATGGTTTTGATTGAGTGGGAACATCACATATAAAAGGAATGAAATACAACACTGCATCAAAGTAAAAGACAAAACAATAGATCAGAGCATTGTCTTGTCTTGTCTCCTCTCTTCATATTTATCTGCCATCCACGTTCCAGCATGGCAACAGACATATTTGCCCATTTTCGGCATGTTGACCACTGTCAGAGGGCAACAAATTTTTTTTTCTCCAAAATCAGGCGAAAATAAATGCGCGCGCTGATGTCATCGATAAAAATTACTTACTGTGGCCTTAATTCAATTTTCACCTGAAAACAAGGCCCATACGCGCCACTTATGACTTATATGTCATTTCCTGCTTACGAATATCTTACTCGATGGACGTTATATAAGAGCAGAATCAAGCGAGTGCGTATCTTGCGTGGCCAAGCAGCATTGCTCGAGGCATACTGGATTACAAGACATCATATAAATGCATTACCCAGTCGTAGATTCTATTATAGTGTTAAATTTCATTTTGAAACAAGAATTCGGAGATTTCATACCTCCAAGGTTTTGTGAATTTATTGGCACAAGCAAAGAGATGATCTGACGTATTACAACGCCTCAACGGACCTAATGGATATCCCCAGTGACTGGAAGAATCTGTCTGGGGTGGACCTTCATGTCAATCTGCGGTTACAAAATCTCCCACTTTTTTTCCTGGCACACTTCTGCATTCAAATTCGGACGCACAACCAAGCACACAGCCTCTACCAGGCACTGCGGATCGCTGGAAAAATGACGTGGGTACGTCGCAAAATGTACCCTCTCTGGCCGGCTAACTCCCTTGATAAGCCATTCCCTGTATTTTGGCCAATTTCTATTTATTTTTTCAGCGATTCGCGGTGCCTGGGCCAGGTAGAGGCTAGCAAACACACACAAACATACCGAAAACAATACCTCTAGTGAACATTCAAGTTCTCAAATAGTGTGTTATTCAAATGGCCGACGTACCTCGGTGGTAGTGACGGCGTCCGGGGTGATGTCCTTGTGACTGGTGGTGGCGGCGTGTCCCCCGTTCGGCCGGCGGGAGTAGCGCATCGCCCTGCCCACCTGCAGCGTGCCGTTCTGGTTCACGTTCCCCGGGCCCGGCCGCTCCACGTCCGCCAGGTTGTTCTCTGTGGCCTCGCCCTCCGCCTGGAGAGATTGGAAGATCTGCAGTTGAACAAACAGACAGAAATACTGCGTTCAAGATATATCTTGCTATCTGTTGAAGTATCTAGCTTTTCTAGTTTTTCCTGACTTCATTGAAGAGGTTCATCAGTCACGTATAGATTTTTTATAACAGTTAGTAGAATATTCATAAATCAATGACTGTTTTGAAACGTAGCAGACAAGTACCTTCGTAAGTTTTCAACGTCCACTGTATGTCTTGATCACGGCGTGACCTAGTCTCGCTTGAGACTAGATCGAGTCTTGTGTAGATCGTAATGAGGGCTAGGAGCTGCCCTAGTCCTACTTACCTCTGCTCCGTAAGGAGGCGGGGGAGGCCAGAAGATCCACACAAGTCTCGATCTAGTCTCGTATTCTCGCGAGACTAGGTCACTCTGTGATCAAGACATACAGCACGTCGGCAGAACGTACTGCGCCTTTGCAAAACTCCCATTTTCACTGTTTTCGTTGGATTTTTAGTCAACGTTGCATCAGAATTTTGCCTGTGCAGACGATATTTTTTCCGACATGACAATTTAAAACTACAGATGGGATGTTAACCTTACATATGCGAATACGACCTTATATGAAACGTTCTGCTAAAGTGCTAGGCACAATGCATTACGGGTTTCGCGCAGGTGCAGTACATTCTGCCGACATGCTACGTAGAGTTGACGTCAAATATTTGGAGGTACGTGTTTGCTACCTTTCGAAACAATCACCAATTGATGAATATTCTACTAACTTCCCTGACTTCGTTTTATCTGATTGCAAGTTTCCTTCCGTGTACTTTGAACCATAAGACATGACATACACGGATACAGAGACAAAATATAAGTACTAGACGAACATATCCAAGAAATAATAAACAGATGGGGTTGGTTTGTGAATGTATTGTGGTGGTGGATTTTTTTTAAGTACTCACCGAAATGCGATGTCTATTTGTAACGTTCGGGCTTCTGGACGCAGACTGTAGACAAACAACAACAAAAACGACATGACAACAACAACAAAAAAAAGGACATGACAACAACAACAACAAGGATTAATTTTTAAACTTCAAAGAAACGGGGTAGATGGTCCAATTTTAAATTGGCTCTACAGTTATCTTTCTGATAGAGAACAAAGAGTTGTTATTGAGGGTCATTGTTCCGACTGGAAACATGTCAGCGCAGGTGTACCTCAGGGTTCGGTACTTGGGCCCCTTCTGTTTCTTATTTACATAAATGACATGGTGGATGGCTTGGTTACCTGCCCCTACTTATTTGCAGATGATAGCTCCCTTCTGGACATTGTAGACAATCCCAACTCTTCAGCTGATCGACTTAACTCTGATCTTAGGAAGATATCACGCTGGTCTTCGACCTGGCTTATGGAGCTTAATCCGCTAAAGACTGAAGAGATGTGTTTTTCTAGGAAATCCAATTCTCCAGACCATCCCCCCATTATACTTGATAATTGTGTTATTAAATCTGTTAAAGTTCATAAGCATATAGGAATGATACTTACCTCCACCATGTCTTGGGAAACTCAAATTTCACATATGATTGCTAATGTATCCAAACGAGTGTCCACTCTCAATAAGTTGAAATTTAGATTACCACGCACTGTACTTGATGCTATTTTTAAATCTTTTATTCGACCTCTTCTTGAATATGCTGACATAATATGGCATGGATGCACTGTGTATGATTCTCAACGATTAGAACGAGTCCAATATGAATGTGCACTTACAGTTTCAGGGGCTGTCAGAGGGTCTTCTTACTCCTCACTCCTTGTTGATTTAGGCTGGGAGAGACTCTCTGATCGTCGCCATGTTCACTCACTGATCATGATGTACAAAGTAATCCATGGCCATACCCGTCAGTATCTCAGGGACCTGATCTCTCCCGAAGTTTCTTTTTCGACTTCGTATGATCTTCGTAATAAATCTAATTTACGGCTACCGCTTTGTCTTACAACTAGGTATAAAAAGTCTTTCATTCCATATGCTACGCATCACTGGAATGGTCTTGATGTAGCTGTTCGATCTCTGAATCTTTCATTGTATAAGAAGTACTTAGTAAAGTCAGTACGTTCCCCTTTTTACCGACATTTTAGCATTGGCCCCAGGTACACCTGCGCATTACTCACGCGTCTCCGCATCGGGACCTGTAGTCTTAACCACAGTTTATTCTTAAGAAATTTAGCCCCTAGTGCTGCTTGTATCTGCGGGTCTCGTTGTGAGAGTGTCATACATTTTCTTTTACACTGCCCTTTATATAATCAACAAAGAGTTACCCTACTCAGCAATCTCCAGAATGTGGTAGACTTTGATTTTGATGTTTTCAATATGTCTGAACAATTGTTATGTGATATTTTACTTAGAGGATTACCTGATTTATACTATGATACAAACTGTAATATCTTGCTAACCACTCAAACTTATATTGTTGATACCAAACGGTTTGTACTCGATTGATTTATCATATAGCCTACTAAACATTTCTTTGTACTATTTAACGACCCATCCCAACCATTTGCTGTTCTCTGTTTTTTTGTTATGTATTGTAATTGTATTCTATGTTTGGTGGTGAGGCTAAAATTAGCAACAGCTAGAGTACCTCACCACCTTGTCTTGTATTGTCCTTGTTGAATTTGCAAATAAAAAAAAAAAAAATAAAAAATAAAAAAAAAAAAACAACAACAACGAAGGCGTACTACTTTTACAGTTACATTTACAGACAGTAAGAAAAAGAACGTTATTGCCAGGCGCCTGTTTGTAAGAGACATATCTCTTCTATCAATTTATCACCAAATTTACTGATATTTCACATTTGTATCCAAGATTTGCTATGTTCAATTTGTAAAGTATTACAAAGATTTCATATCTTTTCACAACACATAGAAGTTTTCTATGGCCTTCGTATTGTTAAGTGTCTTGTTTTTCAGTCGTCATTACAAAGAAACCACTTGAAACGTAGTTAGCCCTCGTCATTGACAATTTGGATGTTAAAGACATCTTCGGTACCTTACAAAGTTTTACATCTTTTCACAATACATAGAAGTTTTTTTTATGGCCTTCGTAAGGTGTCTTGTTTTTCAGTCGTCATTACAAAGAAACCACTTGAAACGTAGTTAACCCTCGTCATTGACAATTTGGATGTTAAAGACATCTTCGGTACCTTACAAAGTTTTCACATCTTTTCACAATACATAGAAGTTTTTTTTCTATGGCCTTCGTAAGGTTAAGTGTCTTGTTTTTCAGTCGTCATTACAAAGAAACCACTAGAAGCGTAGTTAGCCCACGTCATTGCCAATTTTTATGTTATATAATGACATCTTCCATATACCTTATAAAGTTTTCACATCTTTTCACATACATAGAAGTTTTCTATGGCCTTCGTAAGGTTAAGTGCCTTGTTTTTCAGTCGTCATTACAAAGAAACCACTAGAAGCGTAGTTAGCCCACGTGCATTGCCAATTTGGATGTTATATAATGACATCTTCGGTACCTTACAAAGTTTTCACATCTTTTCACAATACATAGAAGTTTTTTTCTATGGCCTTCGTAAGGTTAAGTGTCTTGTTTTTCAGTCGTCATTACAAAGAAACCACTAGAAACGTAGTTAGCCCACGGCATTGCCAATTTGGATGTTAATAACATCTTCGGTACCTTACAAAGTTTTCACATCTTTTCACAATACATAGAAGTTTTTTTTTCTATGGCCTTCGTAAGGTTAAGTGTCTTGTTTTTCAGTCGTCATTACAAAGAAACCACTAGAAGCGTAGTTAGCCCACGTGCATTGCTAATTTGGATGTTAATGACATCTTCAGTACCTTTAACACTTCTGCATCGTACACGTGTTTCTTTTGTGTTTCTAACAGATTAACCCTTGGCACAGGCCGATTGAAAAGGTTCTTCACAGTTCTTCCTGCTGTGATGATTCTTTGCAAGAAGCTAGTGCCATATGCCCTATATTTCAAGATTCGCATTTCTGCGTAGGTGCTAAGAGGGCCAATTTGTCTGAAAACTGTGACTATGATTTTGGGGGCTGCGCACGTGAGGCACATTGACAAAGAATCCTGGGAAATTTTCGATTATATAAGCCAGTTTTCTAGCTTAGAGATGAACGACCACAGGCTGTCGGAACAGGGACCCAATCAGCCCCTAACAGTGGGGTCGTGTGGCGCAATGGCAGAGTGCTTGACTCGGAACAAAGAGGTCCCGGGTTCGAGTCCTGACATGCCACCGATTTTTTGCCATTGGGAAAGGAAAATGAATATTGTCTGTCCTGTATTTGTTTCTATGTGTGGGACACAACACCAGCAACAGCTGCCTGTGTCCCACGTGTATTGCACTGTTGCAATTTCAATGAATAAAAAATCAAATCAACAGCGAGAAATTAATTGTGCAACACAGGTTACGGTCAGGTCACATACATCGTGAGACTGCCGTGCGATCGCAAACTGAATACATTCTTGGGATAATAAGGCAAGTGTCCTCCCAAATCCAGCTATACATCTTGTTTTCTAAATTGTTTGTTTGTTTATTGTTTATTTAACCAGAGAAACATATCGCCCTGAAGGGCGGTTTTCAATGCACCCTGGGGGGCAATCCCCAAACACAATAAAATAATAACAATATAATACAACATAAAGTAATCACTGAAGAAACTTATGTACAATCAAGGGGCAAATTAAAATAAGGTAACTTAAGCACGAACTTAAGTAACAGAAGAATAAACGGTCCAAAATAGGCATACATCAAATAATATCAAATCAATCATACAGAAATCAAAATAAATAATAAGTGAAATAAGGAAAATATCAATGTACAATTAACAGAGCAAGGTAAACATTATGCATTTTCTTTGCAAATGTTACCTTTCTATAGCCCCTACCAGGCTTGGGGAGGCGGCTGGAAAGAGTAGAAATCGGCCAAATATAGAGATAAGCATGCCAGGGGAGTTTGTCCGTTTCGCCGCACCCAAGCCTGTGCGGAGTCGCTACGATCAAACGGTATAAAAGTAATCCCCACATTATTATAAATCATCATTGGGGTGCGGCGAAATGTTCTCTCAACGGACAAACTCCCTTGGCATGCTTATCTCTCTAGTTGGCCGATTTCTACTCTTTCTAGCCGCCTCCCCAAGCCTGGTAGAGGCTATAACCTTTCTAGTCTTAAATGTTGGAAGAGAAAAACCTACGACGACCGCGCGGCTACGAGACGACATAGAAGCGGGGCTACTTACCGTCGGCCTGCCCGCCAGCTGCAGGGTGGACAGGGCGTTAGGCTGGACCCTCGCCACGGACTCAGGCGAGCGGTGGGACAATTCAGGGGAGGAGGATGGAGCATTGCTTTGCGCATGCGTCATGTCATGGGACGGTCGCATCTAAGGACCGAAGATGCCACACCATGAAATGGATACTTATGCTGAGGTCACTCACATTTCCAAACCGGGGCCCGCGGCCGGGCAGTCTTATGGAACGAAAAATGATATAAAAGACAACAAAGCACAAAAAAGTTTTTAAAAATTGATTATGGAACGTTTTGCGTATAATCTTGATAAAAATTGTTGATTTTTCGTTACTTGAAACAGCCTGGCCGGGCCCCGGTTTGGAAATGTGACCTCAGCATTAGCTAGTATACACAATACAATGTACATGACTATTGTGTAGCACTTGTGGATTAACAGATAAGGCCACACCGAGTAGTTTTTATGGATGACGTTCTCTTGAGTCCCTAAATCTAATGCGAGAGCGCCAAGAAAAAAAGATTCCATTTTAAACTTTTCATATCATAAACCTTGAATAATATGAGAAGAAATTATTCCTGTATTGTGCTAAGTTTACCGTCAACTATTACAACATCCAAGTTTTAATCATTTGTTTTGATTCAGTGGGAGCATATAAAAGGAATAAAATACATCACTGCATCAAAAAAGAAAAGACTAACCAATAAATAACAGCCTAGTCTTGTATCCTCTCTTCATATTTATCTGCAACAGACATCTTTGCACCATTTTTGGCATGTCAGAGGGCAACAAAATTTCTTGTTTTTTGTTTTTTCAAACTCTAAAATTAATGCGCGCGCTGAAGTCATCCACAAGAATTACTTGCTGTGGCCTAAATGAAATAAGCACGCAACGACAAGCAACGGCTAGCAATGAAAGCGTTCAGAACACAGCTAGCTTGAAACCGTACTGTAGTGTAGCGTACCTGGGACAGGCCCATCTTGGCACGAGAGTTGATCCTCTTCCTGATCCTTGCCTGCGCAGCCCGGAAGATTTTGTAGTACACGGCCAGGACGATGATCAGAGGGATGTAGAAGGCGCCGAACGTGGAGAAAATGGTGTAGGCGTGGTCCTGGGATAAATTGGGCAAAACAGACATTCCTTATCAACTGAACATCCCATTAGGCCATGTTGATTTGATTATATGGATGACATCCTCTGGAAACCCCAAAACTGATGCGAGCGTGCGAATAAAAAAGTTTGGCAAAAAAAGTTGCCTTTATTCTGATCAATGGCATCTTCATGGTCATGAATGTTGAACAAATGACACATAGTATGGGATGGCGAATAATCTAGTCTTCAAGTTCATTTCTTTACATTTTTGTCTTTTTCGTTTGATTTTGGCATTCTACGACATTGGTATTGTTTTTCAATATTTTCTGGGGCAACTTATTTGCTAATTTTGCCACTGTTTTGTACGATTTACAGTATGGTTGAAAACTTTTTTTTTTTGGAAACGGCCGAAAATTCATGCGTGCGCGGATTTCATCCATATAATGGATTCTAAGTGTATTCTAATGTTACAACCCAGGCTATTGTATGCACTTACACTTTATAGAAAAAAGCACCAAGGACAGGGCTGGTCGAATATGTATGTATGTCTGTGCGTGTGTGAGTGAGTCTGTGAATGGCGTTCAGCACCAAGGATAGGGCTAATTGAATATGTATGTTTGTTCGTGTGTGAGTCTTTGATATATACCTGAGAGATGAGGCAGTTGTTTGGGTCGGCTGTGTCCTCGGGTTTCCTCCAGCCGAACACGGGCGGGATTGAGATACCGACGGACAGGAGCCACACCACGCCGATCATCACCATCATCCGCTTCGGCGTGCGCTTGTGCACGTACTGCGGGACAAAAGAAAAGTTCAAATAAACAGCCTCCAGTTTAATTCCGGACTAGTTCCCATAATTCAGCAACCTTACATCTAGATGGGCTGATATCGAAAACTATAGGTAAAAATGATGTAAGAAATCTCTCTCTCTCTAACTCTCTCTACCTCTCTCTCTCTCTCTCTCTCTCTCTCTCTCTCTCTCTCTCTCTCTCTCTCTCTCTCTCTTTGTGTGTGTGTGTGTGTGTGTGTGTGTGTGTGTTTGTGTGTGTATGTGTGTCCCTAACCTTGACGGCGTCTGTGATGGCCCAGTACCGGTCCAGAGCGATGATACAGAGGGACAAGATGGAGGCCGTGCAGCAGGTCACGTCCAGGATGATCCAGATGTCACACATGGCCCGCCCCAGCCGCCACGTCTGGGTCAGCTCGTAGGATGCACTGATCGGCATGACCTAGGGGGGAGGAGGGCATGCATAGAATTCATGAATTAATGAAAGACATTTATTATCATGAAAGTTCATCCTTGTTGGTAGTAATACTAGTAAAAGGTTGAACTTTATTCCAACACACAATTTACAAATTAATTATCCTGATGAAGGCGACAGTGGTCGCTGAAAATTTGATCTCTGTAAATTGTGTGTTGGAATAAAGTTCAACCTTTTACTAGTAAAGACATTTATTGTACGTTTGTGCTCTAACAAGCTAAGTACAGGTCAAGAATAAACAGGGAAAAAATACAACAATAACACTTAAACTATACATACTAAAACTATACATACTAATGTGAGCTACTATTTACAGGTTCATCTTGCCTCTTGAGGCAATGGATGTACGCACATATGGAGCTAATGATACATGTAAATTTTTTGTCAAGTTTCATAAGGAATACGAATTTTTCTGTTTCATCTTAAAGTCTTAAGCTGGGGAACTTATCTATTATATCAGTATAAAGGGACCTCTCATTTGTATATAATGTACAATCAACTATAAAATGTTATCTCTCACTAAATTGGCAAATCCTTTGCTGTAGAGGAATGCCTGAGTGACGTCCATAATTCTTATCTAGCATTGCTAATATGAACTGCAGATGGAGCTAGTTAATGCATATTTATGGGTGGCTGGAATCGTTATGTATTGATCTACTTTTGACACGATATCGCACATGTATATGCTCCGAAAAAAAACCTGTCCTTGGTGCTGAACGCCATCCACACACGTGCGCGCGCACTCATGATCACGCACACACATCCATCCACACACGCGCGCACACACACACATGCAAACACACCTGTCCTTGGTGCTGAACGCCATCCACACACAGACACACATGCAAACATACCTGTCCTTGGTGCTGAACGCCATCCACACAGACACACATGCAAACATACATTTCCTTGGTGCTGAACGCTATCCACACACACACACACATGCAAACATGCCTGTTCCTGGTGCTGAACGCCATCCACACACACACACACACACACACACACACACACACACACACACATACATACATACAAACATACCTGTCCTTGGTGCTGAACGCCATCCACACAGACACACATGCAAACATACCTGTCCTTGGTACTGAACGCCATCCACACACACACACACATGCAAACATACCTGTCCTTGGTGCTGAACGCCATACACACACACACACACCACACACATGCAAACATACCTGTCCTTGGTGCCGAACGCCATCCACACAGACACACATGCAAACATACCTGTCCTTGGTGCTGAACGCCATCCACACAGACACACATGCAAACATACCTATCCTTGGTGCTGAACGCCATCCACACACACACACACACACATGCAAGTATACCTGTCCTTGGTGCTGAACGCCATCCACACACGTGCGCGCGCACCCACGCACACACATCCACACACACACATTTGCGCACACACAAACACACACACACACCACACACACTCAACTTCACCAGGTAGACTTCAGGACATAAAAACTTTACTGCCACTAGGCGAAAACCTTAGTCTGACAGCCATTTCACGCGGTAAAATTTGAGGCAGTTGTCTACGGTATTACCCAGAAGACAAGGACCAAATCTAGATGTCCATCGTCAGTAAAACTTTAAAGCTCAGACAATTTATTGTAGTCTAGACGACCCAGTGTCGCCTTGTTAAGAAAATCAATTCCAGACTCAGTCGTTTTGGAGGGATCACAAAATCCCACCTAGATAATTAGAAAGCTTTAGCGATGTCAAGGACGGAAAACTATTCAGGTAGATGATTATATAATAGATACAAAACAATTCATCCTCAACATTTTCCAAGGAACCAATTCATTAGTGTAATCATACCTTGTAAAATGCGAGGTAATTTTCTAATTGGTACAAATGATTCCCTACAATCAATTTGAACACTTAAAACCGTTAGGACGAAATTCAAAACTCACCAATAGGGAGACCAGGAGATCTGCCACAGCCAGGGAGCCAATCAGAGAGTTGGCAGGGGTCCGGAGATGACGTTCCACCGTGAGGGTGACCAATACCAGCGCGTTTCCTAATATGGAGGTGAGGGTGACGATGGAGAGTGACGTAGCCGTGAGAACGGTCCATGTGAGGCTGGGGGGTGGTTCGGCTGTGGTGACGTTCAGAGTATCATTGGCGATCTCAGTGACAGGGTACAAATTTGTAGGGAAGGCCGTCATTGTCTTACTGGTGCAGTTTTTTCCAGAGTTGACTTCACTATGATTCGGCTCAGTGTCGACAACGTTTTGTTGCAAAGTCCCAATGGCTGACCATCGAAGATTGCGATTGGACACCCTTAGACACTGCGGTTGACTTAATGTTCAGTCACACTACGCAGTATCCTCAATCCTTCAGTCACCAATGTGAGTCGCACGATCGGTGTAGTACTGTTCACCAGAACTTTCCACACCAATTCATCTGAAAAGAAAATGTGTACATTAGCTTTGAGATACGCCAAAAAAGAAGTTACTCAAGCAACTGGATATGATCTTGGAAACGGTCAAAATCACGTTTCCAAAATCATATCCAGTTGCTAACTGCTTTTTGGCGTGTCTCAAAGCTTATTACCTGGATGTCTGACTTTCACCGACGTAGCTTTGAGATAGTCCATAAAATATGCTATCATTTTCTCATACCGACCGAAAAGAGGATGTGCCCTGCCTGCAAAGACAAAGTTCAAGATGAGTACCATTTCTGCCCCGACTCTGTATCTGTTTATCTAGGTCAATATATACATAATGCTATACAAAAGAGAAACTATGCCATACTATCACGGCAATGTGAAAAGTAGTATTCCATCATAACATTTACATATGTTGAATAAAATAAGTTGCATTAGTACGCTAATAGAAATAGTTTATAGTTATTAAGTGTTATGAAGTGTTATTCATTTTAATATGGGCCAGGGGCATGAATTAGAGAATAAATGGATGTAATTTTTGCCATACATTGTATCCGATGCAACTGTTGCACAATAAACGTGTTGACTTGTTCACAGAGTGTAGATTTGAAAACAAGCGATAAATACAAAATCTATCCTACCAGAGTGTCAAAAAACACGTGTCCTAGACGCACGTTTAAAAGTCAATTGACGGCTAGCAGGTCGATCGCCTAATAACCAATCAGGTATCAATAACCCCCCCAGGGCCACGTGTAATTGGCCAATCACCGGGGACAAAGGAATGATTGACAAGCTCGATTACAATCGTCCCCAGGACCGGGTCTAACAAGTAATGCAATTAATTGGATGGTCCAATAACAGAAAAGAGCGGTACGCTTTGATATGAAGACTAGTGTGATTCCCGTGGTCTCACCATCATTAGTCTTTCTCGACATCAACTGGTGAACGGTAAAGAAGGGGGCCAATGACAGCCGAAAAGGAAGGAAAATATCGTGGCCTTGTGGCTAACTAGGGATGAAAACGATAAGTTGGTACATCAATCAGATTACGGAGAAACACCGGCCCTAGGAAGACTACAGCAAGTAAATTTTATGGATGACATCCTCCGCAGACTCCAAATCTAATGCGAGAGGGCGAAAAAAACAAGGCGGGCCAAAAAACAAGATTCCTACATTTTTAATGCAATCTACTAGTAAAATTGCACTGTATTCCGTAAAATTGTACTGTATGCTAATACGACTGTACTGTACCATGTATTCCGTAAAATTGCAGTGTATTCTGTGGCAACCCTGATTACTCTTCACCATGAATTCACCAGCAACGCTTAACGTTGAATTAGAGTGGTCCAGCTATACGAATAACGACGAGTTAGAAATAGCCTTAGCTACGCCTCCATAAAAAAGCATGCAGTAATTTCCAAGCAGATCTTTCGGTGGCCACAAAATACAGTGTCAGTGTCAAACTGGCCAGACAGTATCCATTAGCCAGACAGTATACATGGACACTCCTGTGGCCAATGGATACTGCCTTGCCACCGTATGATCTGCTTGGATATTAGGCCATGTTGATTTGATTATATGGATGACATCCGCGCGCGCATGAATTTTCGGCCGTTTCCAAAAAAAAAGAAAAGTTTTCAACCATACTGTAAATCATACAAAACAGTTGCAAAATTAGCAAATATATACCGTAAATAACTTGCACAAAAAATGTTGGAAAGCAATATCAATGTCGTAGAATGCCAAAATCAAATGAAAAAGACGAAAATGTAAAGAAATGAATTCTAAGAGTAGATTATTCGCCATGCCATACTCTGTGTCATTTGTTCAACCTTCATGGCCACGTAGATGTCATGTTGAAAGCAACGTTTTTTTGACAATCTTTTTTTTTATTCGCACGCTCACATCATGTTTAGGGGTTGCCAGAGGATGTCATCCATATAATCAAATCAACATGGCCTTAGGCATGCAGGCCCTCACGTACAGTCTACAGTCCACGAGACAACGAAAGCTCTGGGGACAACTCACCAACCAACCAACCAACCAACCAACCAACCAACCAACCAACCAACCAACCAACCAACCGACCGACCATTCGTAAACAGTGTCCGGTAACGGAAACAGTGAGCTTTATTTCAAACAACAGAACAGGAAGCTATATCAGGATGCTGGAGTTATATAAAGGGGTTATATAAGGCAGTCACGCCGGAAGCCTGAATGGGCCACACCATTGTCCAATTAGTACGATTGTAAGAGTCACTCAGGAAGTCAACATTGTCATCATTATTCCTTACGTAAATGTCTATTGATGGATATTTTAATGAGTGACAGACTAATTACGCCTTGTGCGAGGACCTAAAATAACGTGAAAGGGTACTAAAGAAAGCTAACAAGGCTAGCATTCAATATAAATCGCGTAGGCATATCTACCTTGTATTCTCAACGTAAGAAACCAGGACAGTAGCATACGTAGTCCAGTGGTTAGCCATCCTGCCTCTGAACTAAGAGGTTGGGAGTTCGAATCCCGGCTGATGTTTAGGTTCGCAGTCTTTCGGACGGGACGTTAAGCCGTGGTCCACTGTTCATTATGCTTGTCGAAAAGACCTAGGGGAATTTTTCCCAGTACAACGAACCTGTAAATACTGTACATAGCGTGGAAGATTAGCTCTTCAATGAGCTAAACTGGTTCGAGATCACTTTCACTTTTTTTGACAGTATAATGTAGGAATCTTGTTTTTTTCCGCCCTATTGCAATAGATTTGATGTCTGTGGAGGATGTCATCCATAAAATTTACTTGCTGTGGCCTTGAGTACGATTGTAGGAGTTACGCAAGAAGTCAATTTTTCCATCATTATGTCTTACGTAAATGTCTAATTACAGAAATAATTACAGACTCATTAAGACTTGTGCGAGGACCCAAAATAACCTTACTTATAAGCGTACTAAAGAACGCTAACAAGGCTAGCATTCAATATAAATCGCGTAGGCATATCTACTTTGTATTCTCAGCGTAAGAAACTAGCTATAGGACAGTGTAATGTATTTTGGGGCCCACCTTTTTTTTTCATCCTACCGCGTTAGACTTGGAATCCGGGCAGACAGGTTTTCCAAGGGTTTCCAGTAATGTGGGCATGTCAACAAACAGAGAAGAGAGACATTCTTGTGACATTCCATGCCTGTGGAGAAAATCCCTGTACAATTCCTAGAATTCTTGCGAACTGCACACAATACTGTACCATTAGGCTCCTCCCTGAGGAGTCGCCAAAAATCGTGCAGACGTTGTATTCTCAACAACTAGGACAGACCGTGGGACTAGGTAGCATGCGCCAGAGTTCTACGACCAACCGACATCTATGGACGGAGGTAATATGAGCCGGATTCGTAAGAAACACGTCAATGCCCCGCGGGAACTCGATTTAACCACAAGACACCGTACCTAGAGGGTCTAGATCCTACATACAAAGTGCACCCTACTGGCATATGATTGAGAAGTAACGAGAGATCACGACTTTCTACTAGGGCAATTTTTCCATGGTAGACAATATGACAATTACATCAGTAAAAGAATAATATGACTATATGTACAGACGGGCCCAGTTATTGCGAAAGAATCTGCTGCGGAACATCACTTCAGATTTGAGAACAGATTGGATAATGTTGTTTGAGGACTTGTATAGACGGGATATGAATGAGTAACATTGTTTACGCCATGTAGCATCAAATGTGTCAATCCTATTGTAGACAAACATTTCACTTGCACTACAAAATCTGGGTAGTGACCTTATGATGCGAAGACAGTTATTGTAAGCAACTCGACACTTTGATACAATTCTAGAACTAGCTCTGTCCCACAACTGTGCAGCAAAAAGGTGGGAGCAATGAGCTGTAAACAAGTTGAACGTCTTTTTAACATATGAAGAACAATAAGCGAATTTGCGAATTTTCTACATCTCGGACCAGCAATTAGGCCACAGCAAGACATTTCTATGGATGAGCAGCGCGTGCATTAATTTTTGTCTGATTTTGGAAAAAAAGAAATTTTGTTGCCCTCTGACAGTCGTCAAACATGTCTGTTGCCAGACGTTGTTTACAGCTCATTGCTCCCACCTGTTTGCTGCACAGTTGTGGGACAGAGCTAGTTCTAGAATTGTATCAAAGTGTCGAGTTGCTTACAATAACTGTCTTCGCATCATAATGTCACTACCCAGATTTTGTAGTGCAAGTGAAATGTTTGTATACAATAGGATTGACACATTTGATGCTACAGGGCGTAAACAATGTTACTCATTCATATCCCGTCTATACAAGTCCTCAAACAACATTATCCAATCTGTTCTCAAATCTGAAGTGATATTCCGCAGCAGATTCTTTCGCAATAACTGGGCCCGTCTGTACATATAGTCATATTATTCTTTTACTGATGTAATTGTGTGTGCATTTTATATGTATGTTGTATATGGGCGAGTTATGCCTGAAATAAAGAAATAATAATAATACCGAAACGTGGATGGCAGAAAAATATGAAGAGAGGAGACAAGACAAGGCTCTTATTTAATGTTTTGTCTTTTACTTTGTTGCAGTAATGAATTTAATTCCTGTTATATGTAATGTTATGTGTATATGTGATGTTCCCACTGAATCAAAACTACATAACAATGATTGAAAACTTTGTTATTCAATGAGAAATGTATGTTGTAATAGCTGGCAGTAAACTTGGCTCAATATAGGCATCATTTCTTGTTTCACAAGGTTCACGAATCATCAAACTTATATAAGTAGGCACGTGTCATGGACACAGGCTATAACAAACGACTGATGCCCAAGTGTGTGGGTCTCAGATTCGCAACCCGTTATCCACGTACCATAAACAAATCTACGCGATCTTCGAAGGCCACCGTGTCAACCCTCCCCACTCAGGTGTAGGGACTGACACGGTCATCCTACTC